CTAACAGGAGAAAAGAACGAAATTGAATTTATAAACTGAGTTTCATTTTCGATCTTATAGAGTTTATAGTCGATATAGTTTATATAGTTAAAGATTTTATATGTATGAAATGGTCAATGGTAGTATGATTTCTATAAAATCGAAATGTAAAACTGATGTGGATTTTATAAATCAGTTTCATAGAAATTATAAATTTCTATAAATTTTATATTGTTTCAAATTAGCCAAAATATATAAACTTTTGATACAGATTAGCTCGTGGAAACTGGTTGTTATGCACTAAAGATATGAACAAGGTTTTGGTTGGAAATGAATGTGATTAAAGTGGAAGGAGTTGTTGGTTATGATAAAGCAAAGATAGAACATGTGTTGTGTATACTATCAAAAACTAGAACTTTATGATATGATCTATCACAGATCGTAGAAAACTTACAGTAGTTCACAGAATTTAATTCTTTTCTTGTACGCTAAAATTCATTCTTATTCATACAGAAGTATGCTGATTTCTTTAATATTCTATATTTGAGAACGAGTGCTAAATAAAGGCAAATGTGAAACAAGTATGTAGAACGTCTCCAGATTCCAGCCTGCTATATAAGAAGGATTTTTAGTATTTTTTCATCTTTCATTTTACAAAAACGGTCTTTTTCATTAATGTCCAATTTTTTGTAGTGAAGTTCTGTTCTTTGATGTGTCAGAAACAAAGAAAAAATAGTTCAAATATTTTTTGTTTTGGGAATAAAAGTAAAAGAACCAGAAAGAAAAGTAAACTTTGCTTATGTACCATAGACAACTTATCCGTAGGATCAAAATGATCTACCCTTCTGATGAACATTGGTTTAATAATAGTTGTGTTCCTGCCTGTGATTGTGGTTTCTGGAACGATGAAAAGGAAACGAGACGATGCTGTGTTTTCAGTCGGTTTCCTTTCGCTATCAATACAAACTCTATGTACACCAGTATTTCTCTTAAACATTTTCGTTACTAAACACACATTCTTACGTGCTTCTTCACATCCTTTGACTTATATTAGCTGGTGAATATAAAATTAAAATTATTTTTGGTCCCAAATTCCATTATGAACTCAATCCCATTAAGGGTGTTTGGTGCCATGAAACACAGTTCGTCCGAAAATAATCAGGTCAAAAATTCATCAAAATGATTCAATTGATACCTGAATTAACTATTTTAGAGTGATCTTTCTTCCGCAACTTCTCACAGAAGGATAACGAACAGCAAAATAAATAACGATTGAACAATTTTCTATTGTGTAACCAGTGTTTTTCCATTTTTTGCTTTGGTTAGAACCTTGTCATAATACGTGTGGAAATAATCAATAACTGATAGAACGAAGAAACCAGCATTTAAGTTGCATTTGCAGGTAAAGTCTAATCGCAAACATCCTAAAAAGTCGTCAGTTTTTCAGAAAAGGGTTTCTGAAAACATCCTAGAAACCCTGAAACTGTCTCCATTTAATTTGTCCTTGTTTTCTACCTATAAGTCCAATCTTTGGGAGTATTTAGAACAGTGACGTAGCCAGGATTTGGGAATGGAGGGGGGGATCAAATTTCATTTTATCGATTTAAAATCAAAAAATACTCCTATGAAAAATCGTCTATTTTCCATAGGAATATTTTTATCTTAGTGAACTTTTTAGAATTTATTCTTGCTTATCTTGACTTATATATGACTATGGCTTTTACAAGAAGAAAATCGAAAGAAAGAAAAGACATGGTGAGCAAAACGTTTAATTTGGTTCATTCGTAAAATTTATTTTACGTTTGGATTTGGCAAATTCATCAATAACATTTTCAATATTTAATTCTTGAGCGACGATTTTATTAATACTGATAACAGCTAAATCATTCAGTCGGTGATCACCTGTTCGATCTAACACTTCCAAATCTAACAAAATTAGTCTATTCCATTTTCTTTGCTTTAATGTAATTTGATAGCGATATGGAATGGGATAAAACCTATTCAGTTATTACTATTACCGTCTTGTTTCCGTATCGCTATCAAATTAGACTAAAGAAAAGAAAATAGAATAGATTAATTTTATCTTGATTTTTCCATTTTATGTGTTTAAACTATAGATATCTATAACTCCTTAATTTTATTTTATTTGTCTGAAGAAGTTGTCGTCGACAACGAATCGTCGCCTTAGAAATTTTGAAAAGTGTCTGTAACAGCAGTAATGAATAACCATCTTTAAACAAACAAACCAAAAAATATTATCAAGTTTTGTTCCGTAGAACGACTTTTGTAAGAAAAACAATCGGTGAACAGCAACGATACAATGCCAATGCAATTCACTCATATATTCAAAGAATGCTTTTTTGATATTTAAAAAACAATGACCTTAGAAATTGATAGCGAAAATGTTTTTTGGGGGGTGTGGAGGGATCGATCCCTACAATCCCCTGTGGCTACGTCACTGATTTAGAGAAGAACTTCTACAGCGAAAGTGATCTTCTCGTTTATTGCATACCCATGTGGAACTGTTTTTTAAAATACTGGCGGTTACCGACGGTTTACCGAACCACTCGGTGTATCATGTGGTTTACCGACAGTTATTTTTCATACCGCCGCATGATTAAATATCGAGCGGTGAACCTATTTTTATATTCACCGTTTGTTTATGGGTAGACAATACATATAGGCAGCATCGAAAAATCATAAAAAGTTTATGTTTTAATCAGATAAAATTTTTTTTTGATTATTTCCTTTTTATATCTCAGACTTGTCGAAACTCCACTTGCACCAAATTTTCTCCTACTCGAAGGAGCCACTTTGTGCTTGCAAGTGCTCAATAAAAAAAATAAAAAATAAAAGTTCCAAATTAGTTTCGAACTCCCGTTCTATGCGTTCGTAATAAAAATATCGCCGATATTATCACTCGCTTCTGAGAAGATAAAATGTAATAATCGCGAATCAAAATATTTGCTCGATGAAAATTCAACAGTTTTTCTATTCGCTGCATTTAATCGCTCTGGCCACATAGCAAATAACAGCGTTTTAGTTTTGTCCGTTTCTTGTATAGTTATCCATGTAGAAAAAAGTATTTTCATTAACGATCTTAAGCTGAAGTAAGGCACTTGCACCCGCTTTATACTTTTATGTAAACTCTTATTCTTCAAGAGCCGTGGCCATTCAACAGAGAAGAACACGAAAATTAAACAAAAGAGACTATCCATTGTCATGATGAACGTGATCTTCACTCTTCAAAAAGATTTTGGGAAACACATTTTATTTCAGTCTTTTTGTCAAAAACACAGTTTTCAGGATGAGAAAAGTTCTACATTCTGAGGGCACCTAAAAGGACATTTTTAGATCCCAAACCGCTTCGAATATCTGTCAGTATAGCACAGGCAATTTGACTGATTCAGTTTCGTAAAAGGAGTGGATAAACAGCATGATCGTACATTTACCATGCAATAAGAAGCAAATTTTGGTAGATCGATGTATAGGAGATAATCCTAACAAGCTCACTGAGGTAATATTAATACAAGAAGAAGATTACTTGACTTGGTAACAGCAACTGTATTGTTCGAATAATCAGTCTTAGTTCTATAGAACTAACGATATGTAAAGTTTATTTATTCCGAATATTGTAGAGCTTTTCAAGAGCTATTTTTCGATACTAAAGACTGATTCACCCTCTGTTATTTGAGAATACATAAAAGTATAAAGCGGGTACAAGTGCCTTACTTCAGCTTAAGATCGTTAATGAAAATACTTTTTTCTACATGGATAACTATACAAGAAACTAACAAAACTAAAACGCTGTTATTTGCTTACCCACCCTGGACAAAACGTTTTTGGAAATTCTTATGAAAATCTTATCCGAATCTTATAATAATCTTATATAGGAAAACGCCCGAAAGTGCCACGAATTCCGTAAGAGTCTTATAAGAATCTGATAAGAGATTTGTAAGAGCTTCATAGGAAAGTGATGAGACTTTTCACGTTATTCTTATCTATCTTGATGTGAAGTAATGAGTGTAATAACTTGCTATCCGATGGTGACTCATGTGAGTACTATACAAAAGGTTCTTTTGTGATTGCTTCTAGTGCTTTATCAAGACAAGTATGTAGAGGATTTTGATGCATATTACTAGTACTCGAGCTGCTCTATCTTCTACCACTTAGAGAGTCCGAATCCAATGCCACTTTAATATTTCGTTAGAGAGAAAAGGCGGAGCACAAAATTTTAGAAAACCCAAACTCTAGAGAACTAGATCTCGGAAGGCGGATTAGAAACATTGTGCACCACACTCAAACGTAAAGAGAGAAGAAGTATTTTTTGCAAATGTGAGTTTACTACTTCTTTGGGCTCTAGAAGTTTGAATTTGATTGATTGCGTTGATCAAACATTATAGCAAACACAGATGTCGTGGCTTAAAGACAAAACATCGAAATTATTTTTCAGAACTCCATCAGTTCTAAAAAATTGCTTTAAAGTAAAAGTTTAAGTAGAAAAGTTTGTCATAGAAAAGTTGTAGAGAATTTCTCTAGCTTCTAGAATCTCTATTTACTTTTGTTTTTACATGTTTGAATGAAATAAAAACAGCAAGTTTATGCTTCATGACGGAATGACATCGATTACTATTAAGTGTCCTCATGCGCGTTCGTATTGAGAAACTGTGATGGACAATGAATAATTGGGAAAACTGAAGAAAAGTTGAAACTATTTTACTGTTTAATAATATTCTGAAACATTTACAATGTATTTCCTTGCTATCATTTTTCTTCCGATACAATTTCTGTTATTAGTCATAGTTATATTATCGGTTTGATTTTCTCTATGTGTATCAGTGCGACAGCTTAATTTTTTGAGCGCTGGCTGTCCAACCCAGTGTTTTTAATGTTGTCTCAATAAACTAATGAATGATCTCATTGATTAAAATAGAAACATCAGACAGAGTTCGTATTTATTTTTGGAAAGACAAGTTTAATAACACTTCACTTCTAAAGATCTAAATTAACAGAGAAATGAACTAAGAGTGTCGTTTTTCGAGTTTAATCCAAACTTCACTTGGTGTAATTATTGCTAGTTCTTGTATATTTAGATGAGTTTCTAATTTATCTGATGGTACAATTGTGTAATGTGTCAATAATTTTACGAGTGCCAATTTTATTTCATGTAGAGCAAATTTCATTCCAACGCAATTTCGGGGTCCCTTTCCGAACGGCATCCAAGCCATTGGATGACGCTCTGTTTGATGGCGTTCAGGGTAGAATTGCGTCGGGTCAACTGGACCCCAAAGATCGAAATCATAATGAAGAGTGTAAATGTCCGGTTGAATGATATCACCTTTGTTAATAAAAAAAAAACAGAAAGAAAGTGAAATTTAGTTTAATTCTTTTATGCGTACATGCGTATACCTTTTGAAATATGGTAACCACAAACATTTGTTTCTGTTACACATTGTCGGTTCACAAATGATATGGGTATCGGATACATTCGAAAAACTTCTTTAAGAAATAAATCTAAATATTTCATCTCACTAAGCTCAGTTTGATATGCAATTTCTTCTTGTAATCTTGTTTGTTCAATTGGATTTGTGGCTAGTACATATGTACAATATGCTAGTGCCGTACTTGTTGACTCATAGCCGGCTATTAGAAACAAGAATACATTCATAATTACTTCATCATAAGTTAAACTTTTTGCCAATGATTCTGCCATTTCTTTTTCATCCTATGCAAAAATCAAGAAAAGAATGTGATTTTTATGTTACATTGAACAGCTGTAATCACATCGAAGTCAAGGTTATCCAGATTGCACCTCCATTCGCCAGCTTCCTTCATACCTGGAATCGGTGTCGCAATTGAAGCAAGTGATACGTCAAAGGTTGACGTTAGTCCGAAATTGATGTACCTGCGAGGGAAGATACCTCGAGCTGACTTTTCTCATGTCATACAGACACCTCGAAAGTCCACCCTCCTTGTGCAACACTATATTTTCCTAGCTCATCCGTTCGAACACATACCAGGTCTCTGAAGATCCAGATTCCAGTCTCTGCATTTCTCATGTACTTGTATTTGTTCGATATTTTAAAAGGTATGAGAGACTACTAACAGCTTTGATCTTAACTGACTGAGAAAGTTCAGTATAGACAGACTTTGGATGTCGTCATACCAAATCTCTGATGTTCTGTCAGCCTTGGGCTTCTGGCGAAGAATCAAAGTTTTTAGCACATTCTTCTCCCACTTTTACATCATATTATACTGTATCCTCACAACTTTTCTGAAAGCTTGAAGAAATCAGATTTTACAATATCTGAAGAAAAGTTGGTATGAACTTATGAATCCTGGAATTTCTTTTAGTTCCTCTATTTTCCTCTCCTCGCTTCACATAGACTAAAGTTGATCTCAGAGCATTGTCTCCTTGCCTTGCTTCGAAGATCCATATTTAAATTGTAAGTATACGCTTTTTTGTGAAAGCATTACCTTTATTTCATGATTTTGTGCAGCGTCCAACATTACTTGCAGTAAATCTTTATATTCGACTTCTCCATTTTGTTGTTTTCGTTTATTTACAACATTTCGAAGACGATCTATTAGCCACCGGCTGGGTGGTTCTGCATAATCAAATACAGATGGAAATAAATTATTCAATTTTTTACGAAGATTATATTGAAATACAAAAAAATTCATTATAAATGGACGAAATTTTGGAAATAATACTCCTAACTTTGCTATGGAACGTTTTCGAAAATCGTTTGAAAAGAATAATGTTGTTTTTTCTAAGAATACCGCATTTGAATTTGGATCAATTCCGAGAGCACATCGGCTTATGACATTCATTGTCAATTGTTTGTAAAATTCATATATATTAAAATCTTCATCCAGTGGAAGTTTTTCCATCATTTGCCGTATACAATCATTTATTAGTGGTGTAATCTGTTTTAGTTTCAATGCTGAAAATGTTGGATTAATAACATAACGTTGACGTTTCCATCTTTTCCCTTGTGCATCAAATAAATGGACATATTTACCAGTCGTTGATCGCGTAAATATTGTTGTTTTTCTGGAATAAAAATTAGAAAACTGTTTAATAAATACTTCGTTTAAAAAATCAACATTTGATGTCGTCCATACGGGTATGTCACCTTCATAATAACCGTAAATATCACCATATTCTTTTGTCCATAATTGTAATTGACGTGAATACGATTTAGCCGACCACAGTGTTTTTAAATTACCAAACCAATAGCATACTTGTGGACCCTTAATATTCTGTCTTTTAAAATATTCATACTTTCTTTTCATGTTATACCAGTAGGCCAAGGATAAAATGATTAATAACGAAAATAAGACAACCGGCAGCATTATTGTTAAGGAGAATGACAACTATCTGAAACCTTTCACATATGAAATGAGCAACTCCATGAACAGAGCGAAATTAAAGCTTTAAAGTATTAAAATCGGACTTCCTATTCCAAAATGATCCTCTAGTCGCTGATGTAAGCTTGTTCTTGCTCGCTGTTCAAGTTCCAAAGATCCCGTAGGAACTGGTCTTATCACCATGCGTGCATAGTGATTTAGCCTGTAAAAGTTTTATCTACGCGATTTTACCATAAATAAGTTTTCCATTTGTACAGGTGTCCTCTTTCGATTATTGAAAACTGCAAGTGTCTGTCTGCTATCGTTGTGCAATAATTCAAAAAATAACCGAGTACCTTATCTTTTAACCCCTTACACTATGACTAACGAGGAAAGGTCTTTAAGTGTGCAATCGCTTTTCGCGCGAAACTTAGTCGACAATAGGTAATCGAGTCTGATGAGTCCGAATATGACAATGGTTTGGGTCCTTAGATCTCCACAGACCGAGTTTCTGGAAAACCAGTTTTTCCAAACCAGTAAGTTCTATAACTTTGCAAACAAAGGTCATACAGAACTAGGAGATGTCTCATTTTAATTAGAAATTTCACGCACATAAATAATAGTGAAACAAAATTTCAAGGAAAATAAAAAGATTCGAATGGGAATCGAACCCACGATGATGAAGAAATATTCATCATACTTTGCTCTATCCTATTGAGCCATCGACTCTATACATATAAACTATCGTTTTACGTACATGGATATTCTCAAACTTATTGGTGAGGTCTCTTGACACAAAAACACTCAACCGTCTTTTTAGAGCTGAAAGTAACAGAAAAGTTCAATGTTTAGGAGACTGTTTAATTTAACAAGTTTAAGAATCATCAGTCATTAGCACTAGATAGCCTTACCATCAAAATAGACTGTAAGACGATGAGCCGTCTGGTTACACAAGCGATACCCCCCGGCAAATTTCTGATTAAAATGAGACATCTCTCAGTTTTGCATGACCTTTGTTTGCCAAGTTACAGAATTTACAAGAAAATCCCTAAATTAACTTTTTTCCTTCTTCATACAGAACCGGGAGGTGTCTCAATTTAATCCGAAGTTTTCGAGCTACAATCCTGTTTCAGTAAGAAAGGCTTTTGTTATTTTTTAGAGTTTCTGAAAAACTGGTTTCCAGAAACTCGGTCTCTGGAGATCTAAGGGCCCAAACCATTGTCATATTCGGACTCATCAGACTCGATTACCTATTGTCCACTAAGTTTCGCACGACAAGCGCTTGCACACTTAAAGATCTTTCCTCGTAAGTAGTTTGCGAAAAAATTCATCGTTGTTGTCTAAGTACTTTTAAAACTTTATGATAATTAATAGGCCACATTGTTCAGACGTAGATTTCTTTTCCCTGTATCATCTTTTCTTTTCGAGGTACAGCAACACGGAAAAGCATCTTAGAATCTAGTTTTTCCACCGTTACTATTCTTATAACTCGAAAGAAAAGATGATATAGGGAAAAAACCAACCAGATCAAATTGTCTGGGTGTGGTAATGGAACGATATCAAATCTTGATAAATAGAGAGTTGTGACGAATACTAAAAGATGTTCAATTGAATTTTCAATTAGTCCTCGATAGTCGGAAAAGGCTTTGCCATTTTTAGTTTATGCTTCACAATATTCCTACAGAAAAAGCCCCAAAAGGGGAAGGGTAATCTTAATGAAGTGACTACAGTAACTAGAAAACAAGCAAGTGTTTCTCGAAGAACTTGTGTTAGGCATAAACAACATTCGAAAATTTGTATATCCTGTTACGCGCTGAGAGTGTATCGCTCTTGAGATACCCGATAAGGGAGCCGGTGTGCCTTTAATGCGCAATATTTAACCCTTTTATCAAACATGTTAACTAATATCTATAGTCTAGAAGTTTTTCTTGTATACGTACTACAGTATTACACATTTCAGACAGAACTTTTGTATTTCATTTTACTTTCGTTATGAAATTCTTCTTAGAAATCAATCTGACTTTATATACTGTGTAATGAATTATTGATACATATGCAGATGAAAAACAGTAAGATGTGAATAGCAATTGAATCATTCTATAGAGGAACAAAATATCATTTACCTGTTATATGTTTACGTTATGTGATTCAATATTTGCTTGTTCTTTAAACGAAAGAAGGTAAGTAAACAATGATATTGCTGCTGGTAATAGAGACTGATTATACGGTACATTCCCAGATTGTGTGTATTATTTGAATGGCAAAGGAAGTCGAGTTCGATGACTCGAAAGCAAACATACAATCAATAGATCCAATCACTTCCATAAAGGACTACGCACGACTTACTTTTTATCAGACACATCCTTCTTTTCATTTCTTGGCGCTTTAACAATGATGTCGTGTTTACTCTTCTCATGCTCAAAATAATTATTCATGTGTTCAGACGGTACAGTACCATACAGCTTCCTATTGAGTCATAAATAAAAATAAATACAAATATATAAATAATCATAGATCTTGGTCTCTGTAGTATTCATTCTTGCAATGGCCAAGTATACGGTACCACTACCACAACAAAGACGTGTTGTTGCAATTCATGGCTGTGCTGGTGCTGGAAAATCGACACTTCTTACAGAATTAAATAAACATCTTCCCAACGGGACTGTTCAACTTTCATTGAATCACTTGATCGCATATGGTGTACACCAACCCGTGACTCAAATATGTGGTTCATATCAAGATTGTTTTCATCAACAATCTATTCATCAACAAAAGTAATTCGAACTGATAAACATGAACTTATTGTATACATATTTTTATTATTAATTTATGTTTTTACGGGGAACTCTACATTGATGCTTGCAACGCTCTGTCTTCGTTGTATGATACTACTCAGCTGGCAAGTATTTTGTAATCATTTGTTATCAAAATTGATGAACAATGAATCGGGCAACAAAATGAATCAAATGAACAATCATCGTCGGTTGTCTATCATGAAAAATAATAGTGATCCACATTGGATATTTTTAGACAGAAACTGTATCGATGTATACGGTTTCTGTTGCATTGATCAACCAAACAGTGTCCCTAATGATTTTTTATCTGTTTTAATTCAGCAAACAAATGAAATAAGCGTTGGAATTATCATGGATACACCTCATGATACCGTATGTAAGCATTAGCTGCACGTTTGTGTCCTAATTCAACAAAACTCGTACGTGTCATAACAAAGCTATTACTTAAAATTCCCTTTATGATCAATCAAACATTGGATGCACTTCCAGCCATTGAACAATGGTACAAAGCGTTCAATGTTCCAGTTATTAGAATGAGTAAATTGTATGATAAATTCGATATGAATTCATTCAATGGAGAGGTTTTGTGGACAGAAAGATCAATACAAATACTATTAGAAGAAATTGACAAACAAATTAAAGAGAGACTACTTCAAAATGATATACATCTGCAATCACAACAACAATTGTTTAAACCTTGGATGAGAAGAGGATCAAATGCTCCACCCGTTCAGGATGCGGTAAGCAGTTTTGAAAGCCTTGTTTCCCTTTTTCCCTCGATGTCAAACAATATGAACGATGATAGCCAGAGATCTTAAATTTCTAATACAGTTAGATTTTTGAAAGAGAAAATTGATATATTTTTGATTGATGAAAAGTTGCGTTCTTCATTGTGCCTCTTTTTATTTCTACAGAATGAATATAACAAGCAAGAAGAACAAGATAGCTGACGCGGATCCAGTTGTGTTCTATGTCTCGCCGTTTTTGATTTATTGTATGTACCTATATGTGTATTTTTATCGTTATTCAAGAGATAGTATCTGCAAGATTTTATAATAAACTTTTATATAATGCATCTTTGGTTTCCATTTAAATAGCGTAGCTTGCTCCTCTACTTAACGTACGACTATAGGAAATAAATGTTCGTGCGTTAGCAATATGAAGGCTGTTATGAGTGTGTGACGATTTTTTGTCACAACCTCTTTTTCCAGTACGTACTTCTGTCGCTAGGGCTACTCCCTTTTGTTTCGCTCTGTTCCTTGTCTGTTTACATTCTTTCCTCGCTTTGTTCTTTTGTGGTTCTTATCTTTTCTGCATGCAGTAGTACATATATATATTAGTATTTTTCTTTTGTAAAGTTAGTTTTTTGTAGTTTGTGATAAAGAGTAGTCGAATAAAGGCGTAATACTACATATCTTAACGCACGCATACAATCAACTCAAGGACTTATAATTAGAGGAAATATCCTCATAGAGTGCCTTTACCAAAACTGCTAAATCACAAGTGCTGTTAATCTGCAATGTAAAAATCGATTTATGGAGCTACAATCGACCTGGAATTTTAAAACTAGTATAATTGCTGCTTTCTATACAATACGCCAAAATTGCTAGATGACTGCTCATACTTTGAGAAAGAAAGCCAGGATCCTAGAAATGACAGATCCTAACTCCTAGGCTACTACTAGTAGGTAGCAAACATCGGCGATGATTCACTGACACGATGTTGGTAGGAAAACAATACTCTCTGATGTAGGCTCTCTGACTGTCAGTGCGACACAAACTGCTGAAAAGAGAAAAACGGGAGAAACATCCAAGTGCCACGTGAGACAATGAATAATTGGGAGGATTGAAGAAAAGTTCAAACTATTTTACTGTCCTTCTTTAAGGTCTTTAAGTGTGTAATCGCTTTTCGCGCGATACTTAGTCGACAATAGGTAATCGAGTCTGATGAGTCCAAATACGACAATGGTTTAGCTCCTTAGATCTCCAGAGACCGAGTTTCTGGAAAATCAGTTTTTCCAAACCAGTAAGTTCTATAACTTTGCAAACAAAGGTCAAAGGTCTTTCCTCGTAAGTAGTTTGCGAAAAAATTCATCGTTGTTGTCTAAGTACTTTTAAAACTTTATGATAATTAATAGGCCACATTGTTCAGACGTAAATTTCTTTTCCCTGTATCATCTTTTCTTTTCGAGGTACAGCAACACGGAAAAGCATCTTAGAATCTAGTTTTTCCACTGTTACTATTCTTATAACTCGAAAGAAAAGATGATATAGGGAAAAAATCAACCAGATGCCAGGTGCCATGTGACACAATGAATATACTTAAGTTAGACTTTGGCAGAAAATTGCTAAACATTTACAAATTGCAAATGCTCCAAAATACTATTAAACAGTAAAATAGTTTCAACTTTTCTTCAATCCTTCCAATTATTCATTGTGTCACATGGCACCTGGATGTTTCTCCTGTTTATCTCTTTTCAGCAGTTTGTGTCGCACTGGCAGTCGGAGAACCTACGCCAGAGAGTGTTGTTTGTGAATATTGTGAAGCATAAACTAAAAATGGCAAAGCCTTTTCCGACTATCGAGGACTAATTGAAAATTCAATTGAACATCTTTTAGTATTCGTCACAACCCTATATTTATGAAGATTTGATTTCGTTCCATTACCACACCCAGACACTTTGCCATTTTTAGTTTATGCTTCACAATATTCACAAACAACACTCTCTGGCGTAGGTTCTCCGACTGCCAGTGCGACACAAACTGCTGAAAAGAGATAAACAGGCGAAACATCCAGGTGCCATGTGACACAATGAATAATTGGAAGGATTGAAGAAAAGTTGAAACTTGAAATTCCAGTTGAGGTGTTCCTTGATTTGTTGAATTGAGTAACGATGATCGAGGAGAACTGTCTTGCGAATTGTAAAGCGGTTCGCTCTACGATGTTTATTGTGTTTCTGGTTCTTTATTTTTCGTT